CGTGACGCGGCGGGGCTGGCGGGGGCGGACGCCTGTTCCCCAACGGCCGTTTCTGACGTCATCCGGCCCCCTGCCTCGCTTTCGTGGGGTCTCGGGGCGGTTGGCAGGTTGTGCGCGCCCCCCTCCCGTGGTGCCGGCACCAACTGTCAGACACGCCTCATCGTCCTGTCACAAATCACACCTACCCCATGGTACCGTCACGAATTGCACACATGCATGCACGCATGCTGCCCATGGTACCCTCACATCTCTCACACACGTGCCCCCTCATAGTCCTGTCACAAAATCACAGCTCCCCATAGTACCACCACAACATCACACACATACACACCCTGCGCATGGTACCCTCACAAAACCTCACACACGCACACCCTCATAGTCCTTTCACAAATCACTCCCCCTCATAGTACCATCGCAAAATCACACACCCTGCCCTTGGTACCCTCACAACATCCCACACATATTCCCTCATAGTCCTATCACAAACTCAGACACACACACCCCCCCACCATCACAAAATCACTCTTCCCCTCCCGGTACCGTCACTAAATCTCCCCCCGCCCCAGGGTGCTGTCACGGTGACACAGCTGTTGACTACACTGTGGGTATTTGTTCACTGTCTGGCCCGGAGGCGTCCCCAAATCCTGGAGGGCGGCACCAGCCCAGCAGGATTGGCGGAGCCGAGAGCGCAACGGCCACCTCCGAGCGCCACGAGAGAACCCGAGTGGGGCCGGGCCGTCGCCAGGTGAAGGGCAGCTGGTGGCGAACGAAGGGAAAGGGCCCGTGGGTGCCAGCAGGTGTTTGTGACGGAGCCGAGGTTGGTTGCCTGTTCTTAGGGCCAAGCTGGTCCCCGCTGCGGGGAGAAGCAGAGCGCGGGGACGGGGAGCCAGGAGCCAGAAAGCGCCCCTGAGAGAGCCCAAAGGCTGATTCTCGCCATGCTCGCAGCTCCCTTCTCGTGCCTCACTCAACTAACTGGTAAGCGAACCTGGCAGAGTGAAGATCCACCATTGGGCTTGTGTGCCTCTGGCTGCTTAAGGAACGATCGTGGCTTTTCTTGGATGCTGCCCGTTCTCCTGCAAGCCAGGCTCCGTCGTGGTAGCACCTGCAGAAGCACCGTTCATTCTCGGCTGGTGCCTTTGCTTTTGTAATTCAACCTTGTTCTTGCCAGGTTTAGACGAGACAAGGTAGGAAAGCCGGTGTAGGCACCCCTCTGTAAGTGGGGACTCAAATGATGAGACCTTCTTCTTCAAGAAAGTCTAGCGGAGGCAAAGCCTGGTTTCCCAGCATTATGGGCGCGCGGTGACTGGATTTAACACCTGTAGAAGTGGGAGTCCCGGTACTTCAGCCGCAAAGCATCTCTTTTTTTTCTTTTGTGACATGTTTATTTCTAGCTTAAGGTGTCTAGATACTGGGACCATTTCTCATTTCATTTCTGTGCCGGGGATTTAAAGTAAGTAGAGTCGTATTTGCATTCAGATCACGCAGTTACTGCATCTCGTGGTGTTTGTTTAAGAGGTGACAGTTGATTACATAAGTAAGCAAATGAATGACATAAGTGAGCACCTATGACTGCCCAGAGGAGTTTTCCATCTATTGACTCCTCTGTGAAATCCTATGAAATATGAACTTTCATTTCTACCCAGGAGAACTTGTACCATCTTTTCTCCGATGCCTGGTGAAGGGTGTTTGTGTCTGAAAGCTTGCAATTACAGAACTTTTTTTGCAACAATCTTGTCTATCTAATAAAAGAGATCATCTCTACTACGAGTCCTGATTGCCAAATTAATTATATGCTTTCCACAGAAGCAAAGCAATTCATATTTTAAACCATACTGAGAATTATTTCACAGCATATCCAATTACATGAGCCTCAAGAGGAGTCCACCATAAGGGCACACTTATGTGCCGTAACTTTACTTCTGAAAACTTGGCCTTTTCTATCTCTTTCCACGGCTCTCTCGTCAAGCAGCATCCGTTAAACACAAGCTTCCAGGTTGGATAGAGGACTTGCTGCCAAAAATAGCTCCAGCTTGAATGATCTGCAGCCACGTGCTCTAAGAAGTAGAAAGCACCACCCTGGGGAGACAAAGCAATCCTTAAAATGGTCTTGGGGTATGCAGCATGCAGGATATTTCTTAGTTATCCTAAAAGTCTCTTTTCCCATTTACTCTGTCCAAACTGAGAACTGACACACCTTTAATGCTAGTTTTCCTTGCATACTTTTCATTCAGTCTCTCTGTCTGTCTTTTTCCGTTTTTCTGAGTTCTTTTAAAATCTTTTTCTATTCAGTAGAATATTAATATGAACAGGAAATTACATATTTATACAGATGTTTAAAACCCACATGAATATATATTCTAAAAGCTGCCTGACACTTTATCTGCAGAAATATGCTGTCCACAAAACTCTTGCATTTCCTTTATAGCATTTTAAAATCTTTCCCTGATTAAATTTTATTAATGGGGGAGGACTTCCGGTCTTCATTTTGACAAGTAACATTTAAATCCCTTTTGCTGCCCTTTGTTAGCTGATGCAGAATGCTTCACTATTTTCTTTTTTTTCCCTAAGGAAAATTACTTAGGAGGGAGGGAAATAACGAAGGGCTTAATTCTTCTATAAATGCTGGGTCATAATGGCAATACAAGTAAATGGGAATTGAATCCACAAAACACAGTTTGGCCTTGAGTCATGGAGCAGATTAACCAGCATGCTCCTACTATGCATCATTTTGGGTTGCATTGTAGCTGGAGACTTCGTTTAATTGGCCAGATAAATTGGATCTATGGTTGCTTTGCATCTTCCTGAGCAGCACAACACCACTAAAGGAGAATCTACACCAGTGACTGTAGAACAGGTATAAGAAGAAATGTCCCTCCCCAGTACTTACTGGTCTGAGCACTCTCTTAACTTCTTTCAAGACATCCTCTACATTCTGCACAGAGCACAGGACCAAGGTGCAGACCACTACATCCATGGAGCCATCAGCCACCTGGTTCAAGTTCTCCGCTGGAGCCACCAGGAAGTGCTCAAACTGCAGGTGCTGGTTCTGGTTCATGCTCTTGGAAAGACCACGCTGGAAGTTGCTGTTTGTGTCTGAACAGGTAATTCTACAGCCAGGTGGATAGAATTGGAAGTTGGTGCCAGTGCCGGTCCCAATTTCCAGCAGCCTCAGTACTTTCGAAGAGCCTGTGAACTCCCGCAGGTTGTGAAACAGCTCCCATTTCTGCACTGATGTTTTCTGGTTGTAATGTTCAGAGAACCTCTCTATGAAAAAGGGGAAGAAGACCTTACTACCAAAAGGTTTCCATACGCCCAGGAACGATAGCAGATATATGGGCAGGGCAAGCAGTTGCACGCAGACACGGAGAAATAGGATTGCTGCCTCTGCCATTCTAAGAGAAGACTTGCACTGAGCAGAATTTGCTCATTTAAAGATAATACCCCTTGAAGTGTAGGCAGATTGGATCTGTGTAGCTGCTTTGTTCACTCTTGGAAATGTGTCCTGCTCTTTAGACCAGCCTAGAACGTGTCCAGTAGACTTTTGAAATCTAATTTTAAAGTCCATTCACTGATGATGTCAGGAAAATCAGAGCTTCCTGCAAAGCAACCTACCTAGAGTTCATCTGAAACTTGCCCAAAAAAGGATCAGTTGATCAGTTATCAGTTTCTGACATGTCTAGGGCCTTGAAGCATGGTATTTGTAAAGCATCTGCAATTTTGCTGCCAATCTCCAAGCTAAACATTCAGCAACTTTCAGATTACAATTTTCCTTTCTCTTGTAAAACAGCCATATCTGATCAGTGTTGCAGCTTAGATTTTGTGTTTTTACAAATTTCAAACTGCGCACCTGCACTCATGTCAACAGTGTTTAGTTTAGACTCTAGTTTAGACAAGGCACCAGACAGTTGTCACTGTTTTAATCAGTCTGTCATTTACACTTACTTTAAACAAAGTGGTTAAAATGCAAGTAGTTGGTCTAGGCTACCGCTGCAACCAACGGAACAATGGTAAGGCTCTTGTATTGAAATCTGTACTGAAGACACATGCTTATAGTTAACAAAACTCTTCTCAATACCATAGTAGCCTGTTACATGGAACTGTTGTGAATTTTTTTTTGTTAATAAAGGCAAAGCTTGTATTGCCTTTAATTATGGATCTGAACCAAACATCATGGTGGAAAATGGGCTACAAGTTTCTTCAGCATAACTACTAAGAAAATGTATGTAATGTAAAATCTTTTGTATTTAAATTGTTTTATGCCTTTCTCAGAGTTACTTAGCAGCACCATCTCTTACTAACTTAACTGGGAACAGTGGGGTCTTAGTCCCTGTTTGGTCTCAGCGTCAACAACAAAATCTGGTAAAAGGGCTTTGGGGTAAACACTTCTGCAAATCAAAAGAATATTTTCAGTAAATGTGATATGTAGGTACTTGGGCAGGCAAGGTTCTTTGAGTAGATGTGATATCTTTTATTAGACCAACTGAGTAGTTGGAAAAAAATTATTGGCATGCTTTCAGGCGGAGTCACCCTTTTTCAGGCATGGGGAGTCTCTGCTGTTCTGAGACTCCAAGAAATCTGTAGGTACTTGTCTTTTGCACTCTCTGTAACACTCTCAGCTTTGTGAAGGTATACAGGCATAACTCGGGTGAGAACCAAAAGGCAGGGACAGAGGTATTTGTTACCATGTTGTAAGTAGGAGTGTTCAAGCTAGATATTGTAGTGTATGTGTTTTCATAGTCCCTCATTCTTTAAACTTCCTTTGTTGGGCAGTGCCCTATGGAAGCCCATTCAAGATTGCTTTTACAGAATGCACAACACATGTTTTGTACTCTCTCTTAGACTTCTATGGTTTGATCTTTCTTTCTTATAGTATGTCTCTACTCCAAAAAAGAAATGTCAGAATGGCACTTTGTGCTTTGTTGCTGTTAATTAAGGTAGGACATCTAAATTAGGCCCTGAATGACACCTGTGCAATCCCATTGTCTTCAGATTATACACTCAACTGCAGCTGGGCAACATAAAGGTCATCTGAGTATGCACAGGTTTAACTGACTGGATTCTGAATGGCTTTGGTTATGGACAAGCTGGAACAGACTTTGTTGTTCATTTTAATCTTAGCTATGCTGAGCCTGATCAGAATGTGGACCAGTGTCGCAAAGGCACTAAGTAGCGTTGTTCACGTTTGCTAACTGTGTGGAAGGGCATTAAGACTTTTGGGGCAAGGAGTATAGTTTAGGCTACGATTTTTTTCAAACGAGCCTTGTTACAGATTTGGTAGTATGGTCTTAACCTGAGTTAGGCATTAGTTCCCATGCTTAATAATAATTGCTTTAACAAAGATGGAAATCATAGGTGATTTGCCAGGGTCAAGGCTTCTCAGGTGCAGAACTGAGAATACAAACCTGAATACTCCACCCTGTTCACTGTCCACTGTGCCCATTGCTCAGTGAACAGAATTATTGAGTCTACTGACGTTATCAGGACATGCTGAAGTATTGCAGCCAGTGTGTTTCAATGGGTATCTCAGAACCTGTGTTCAGTTGCTGCCATTGGGTTCAGCTCAAGGGTGATGCAAAAAAAGCTCTTGGCTACAACCCCGATGCAAGTTCCTGTTATAGGAAGGACCAAGGAGGAAATTGCTAGTTTCCCCAGTCAGGACTTCTCTGGTTTAATCATTTCACTTGATGTTTGAGAACCTCATTACCTAGAAAATTCTGGGATGAAGCTATCATCTGAGGAGCTAACCTGCAGAGATCTTTTTTGTCACCAATTTCTGTTTGCTGCTCCTCTTCTGGATTATATTTATGCCATTGATTTTGGTGGTTGGGGTGAATGATTGACCTGTTTGTGGGGAATACTGTTTTTGGGAACAACATATGTAAGTCACAAAGATGTATATAAGAGAAAGGGAAATATGCCTCCTCTGTCAGGAAATGGTTTGAATGGGACGTTACCCTTCCTCCATATCAAACCACTGGTGTGTCCCCCTTAGAGGTAGGAGCCAACCTGCTCACTTAACAGAGGGAATTTTGCCATCTCCCCAAAATAGTGGGAAGTGACAAGCTGGGTCTTGTCCAGAATGTAGTCTGTACATTTTGTAGCATTAGCTCAGCGAAGTCTCTGTGTGTGAAGGGAAATTTGGCCTCTAATCTGAAAGAACAGTTGCCTTGCTCTAGCCACTAGGCTATCACAGATCATACTCTTAGTGTTCTGTTCCCAGATCTCCTGCTGTCTCACTCTTTCTGAGTGAAGCACTTACCAGTCCCTGTCTGTTTTTGGTCTGTAAACAGTGATCTCGCCAATATCTTCACAAGAACCTCTTTGAAGTCTAAGGACTTGATATTCGCAAAATCCTGTGAGAGCCCGAGTTGAAAAGTGCTATAAAATACAAATAAATAGACTGGTATTGTCTTTCCCACCTACAACTCTGGTGTAAACTTGATTTACGCTCAAGCAGCGTGTTAAATATAAGTGTGCAGTTTTGTTCCTGCGGTTACCTGCCTGTGCCTCCATTAAGTGTAATCGTTTGTTTCAATATTGATCATTAGAGAGAGGCTTTGAGAACCAAATTCAGAGTTGATTAAATTCAAATGGAATTGCATTTGCGTTCACAATGCTGGAATTAGGCACTCCATTAATTTGTGTAAAAAAAACATTTTAAAAGGACTATCTTGTTACAAAAACGAGCGAGTTACTACCTCTAGTGGTAACAAAGGAAAAATATACTCAAAGACTCATTGAGAGCTTTCCTACTTTGTTAGCAACCTTTATTAGCATAGAAATACCACAGGAGAGAAACATTCAAAGAGATATTTCATCAGAAATACTTTTCACTGCAGGCCAAGTGGGTATGGTGGTTCTGAGACTAAAGGGATGGTGGTGCTTTTTAAATTTCACACGCACCTCACTTTATTCTTCCTGACCGGAGTTAAGTATAAGCAGGAAACAAACGGAGGAATTGGCTCCGATTGAACTGTACAATACCACTTTTCTGCATTTGAACTTATAATTAGTTATCATTACTGTTTAACTTGACCAAAAGTGTTCAAGCTCTCTCAGCAGCAGGACCATATGGTTATGCATGTGTCCCTAACCCTGTTTTATCTTCTACCCAACAGCTGCTGTCTTGACCTTTTTTCTCTGGATGTTACTTATTTACCCTACTTTCATCTGTTATCCCTTGTACCTGTCCTCACCCCCTGTTTACAGTGAATCCTCTTCTTTCACCTCCCAACTGCCAGCATTTACCAGTAAAGATTTTAAATTGGAAGCTTTAAAGGTAAGCAGAAAGTATTCACTTATTTCTGTGCCATAGGATATTGGCTCTGTAGGGCCTTCTTGCATGGTGATTTTGGGCAGCTCTTGGAGCTCTTAAAACCTGGATTGTCTGCACATTCATATCTGAAGCTAGCTTTAAGCACTTTCTCTCATCTGTGCTATCACGCTAGTGTTACATTAAGGTGCAGCCACTCTAGGCTACGCATTAATGTAAACACCCCACCCTCTTCCACTGGCCCAGATTGGGCCCACTGCCCCCACCCTCCCCAGCACCCCAGAGGCAGCTGGGTAGGCAGGTTAACCCTTCCCTGCCTGCTCCTCTGGGACAGGCAGCAGGGGCAGTCACAAATAAGTGGGGAGAAAGGGGTAGAGGAGGGCCCTGGAGGTGGGGTGGGTATTCTGGGGGGCAGGGTCAAGCCTGGAAAGGGAGGGGACAGGATTCTTACCTTTCAGTCCTCCAGGCTGCTGCTGGCCTGAAGAGTGACTGCTTCAAACTCAAGCTACCAGTGACAACTAACATGGATCAACGTTTGTGCAGCTCAGTGTAAAGTGAGACGAGGCTTTATTACTGATTCTGTGGTGGAGAACTAGACTTCTGAGGGACGCTTGTAGGTTTTAGCTCTGTATTGGCTGGGGATGGTCCTGTAAAGGAGCTAATTGCACCCTAACATGCCCTGTTGCAACTTTTACTGGGATTATGATGTGTAAAAATGGAGTAACAATCAGATATGAGAAGGAGTGCCAGCTTGCCTGCACTTGTCTCAGGGAAGATACCTTCTCTTGTATCTCTTTAATCCCACTGTGTATCTCCCTGCAGGACAGAGCTTCCTTCCTAATTTTCCGTGAAATGTTATTTTTGGTTTTTGTCTTCAGGCTGCTTGTCCCCAGCATGACAACCCTGGCTAAGAACTCTGGCTGACAGATGAAAGACCATGCCCCCCAGTTAAGGTAGCTGCACATGCTCAGTAAGTTTCCCTCTGTTATTTTCACAAGCCCAGCAGGGCAATTTGAATGGGTAGATAGTTACTATATAGGAGATGCTATGTGAAGAGGCCACAATCATGGAGAACTGAAAGAAAGCACAGAGACTATTCAGCACTGAAGTGGGGTCTGTTGTTGCACGGTGTATGAAGGTAATTATTTCACAGCATATCCAATGATATGAGGCAGAACAGGGCTCCATTTCATTGGGCCATTTATGTGGCACAGCTCCAGTTGAGAGAACTTTGCTTTCTCCAGGTCTTTCCAGGTCTCTCTGGTCAGGCAGCATCCGTCTCCCAAATATCTCCAGGTTGGCTCGCATATCTGTTGCCAAAAGTAGCCCCAGCTGGAAGGATCATCAGCCACATGCTCCAAAAAATAGAAAGCACCACCCTAGGAATAATGCAGTTAAAATGTTTCTGGGATGAAGAAGGGCTTTTAAAATCAGTTTCACAGAATCATAGGAAATTAGGGTTGGGAGGGACCTCAGGACTTCAGGATGTCATTTACTCCAGCCCCCCGCTCAAAGCAGGACTATTCCCAAGTATATCATCCCAACCAAGGCTTTGGTTACCTGGGTCTTAAAAAAGTTTGTGGATTTCATTTGCTAAACTTCAACAGCAAGCATACCTCCACTCCCACTCTGGATCCCCTTATGTCTCCAGGAACTGCCTCCCATTATCAAATTGATTTTTGCTTGGAGGCCTGTCAGCATTCCCTTGCATGCTCTTTCTGCCTGATTTCACCCATAAGATTAAAAATGTTATCACTGTTATGTTTATATGGGGGGGAGGGGCGTGCAGTGGTGGCATTTGAGTCCTGTACTCAAAGAAAAAATTGGGGGCAGGGGGGGAAGGGTCTTGTGGTTGGGAATCGTGGGTTCTTGGCCCTGTCTAGCCATTGTTGCCTTATGTGCCCTCACACAAATCGCTTAATATTCCTGCAATTTCTGTTTCCTCCCCGAGGGTGCAGATGGTCAAAACATGTATTCTAATTTCCATGGGGGGGTAATCTTGCTTTATTAATGTTTATAAAGCACAATGAAGTAGATCCCGAAATATGAGGACTGGGTGTCCACAGACAACAGAAATAGCCTATTACTGTTAATGATTTGCAACATGCAGTAAAGTTCACTTAAGTGGCAGCCTTGTGAACTGCCTGGATATTTAACTGGGTCAATTATTACAGGGCAGATCTGGTGCAATATATTTTGATGATTAGAAACAATGGACAAATGGCAGAAGAGGTAGTACCACCAAGTTTCTTCATAATATTTTAGTAAGGCTGTGAAGTCAAGAGGGTGGTGACACCCACCAACAAGTAGTACTATAAAAAAAGTAAGATGGAGTCTCAGGGAAAACAGAAACTGAAAATAAATCAGGTTTATATAAATCAATCTCTTTCTGTTCAGGAGAATTCACATCTGCCTTCTATGAACTGCTCTCTTTTCAACAAATATCTGTCTCAATCATTTTGAGATGCATGAGAGATCTGCCCCAGATACTTTGCAGTCTCATGGTTTTTAGGGATTCCTCAGAATTTGATTCTAAACCTTGGCAGACAATCTTGGGTAAATGTGATAGCTCTTATTAGAGCACCTAAATAGTTGGAAAAATTGTTCTTTGCAAGCTTTTGGGCATAAGCACCCTTCTTCAGGCGCAGAGAGAGTCTGCTGGTGTTTGTGTAGTCTCTTGGGTGGAAGAAGGGTGCTTGTGCCTGAAAGCTTGCAAAGAACAATTTTTCCAACTATTTAGTGGGTCTAATAAAACATACCACATTTACCCAAAGAAGCTTTTCTGCCTGTGTCCTTAGACCAGTGGCTATAACCAACACCCCTAATTCTGACTCTTGTGCATTTTTGCCAGAATCGCCATCAAAATGCAGGAGTACAAGAAACTCCATACTGCTGACTAAACAATAGACTTGAGCTGAGAACACTTGGGCAGGGAGCCAGAACAGTTATCCACTTTGACCTGAAGAAGTGGGCTTTATGTAAAAAAAAGGCCATTGGGTGAGACCAGAGTTCTGTCAATCCTGCTGTATGAGGTGTCGGAATTCAGCTATCAGAAGTAAAAGGGTAAGGGCATGTACTGAATTTGTTTTCATCCAACACTGTGAAACATAGTTCAGTCTAGTACAATTTTAGCCTCAGCGGCTGTACAAACTATTGCACAAGAGTGAGGTAGTTTTCATCTTCACGAGAGTCTTACTTGTCATTTCATCTCCCCATTGGGGACATGTTCATTTTATGACTAGATTTAGCTCTGCTTTGCAGTATAGTTTTAGATTCTTGCACTGTAAGGCGTGCTTTTCTCAAGTTAAGAAATAACCCCAAATTAAGGATAAACTTTTCAAAAACTTATAACTGACTTAAGCGGAGAAGTTCTGCTTTCCCACAGTCGTTTAGGTGCTTAGAGGCCCCAAATTTTACAGATGCTTGGGTCTCAGAAGTAGGTGCTTTATAAACATCTTGTAACGTGGCTATTTTTAATTTTTAATTATGTAACCTAATGCTTTTATCATGTGATTTTTAAAAACATTTTTTTTAAAAGGAAGTTTTGCTTGTTTGAATAAACCTCACTCCTTGCTGCTGAGGTTTGCAGACCAGATATTGTAGTGTTCAGTTAGTTAGTGCACATAAACCAGAATTAAAATTGCATAAGTGAAGCAGAGAAACCTGTTTTCATTATCTTTGTTGAAAGGGAAGTACATAGATAGCATCAGTGCTGAACTGATTTTTAGATTCAGCTTTACTCTGTGACTAGCGGTGCATACAGTCTAAACACAAGCTGGTGCTTGTATGGCATAGTTTGGCCTATAAGGAAGCAAAACAGTCTCCCTATATTGCACTGCAGTGTCCTGTACTCACCGGCCTGAGCACTCGCAGGACTTCACTCAGGACTCTCTCAATGCTGCTCACTGAACACAGCACCAGGGTGCAAACCACAGCATCCATGGAGCCGTCAGCCACAGAGTGCAGGTTCTCGCCAGAAGCCACCACAAAGTGCTCATACTGGAGGTGCGGGTTTTGAGCCATACTCTTCAACAGGAACTTCTCGAAGTTGGGGTTGGGGTCAGTACAAGTCAGCCGGCAGCCAGGTGGGAAGAACTGGAAGTTGGCACCTGAGCCTGTGCCAATCTCCAGCAGGTTGAGCTCCCCTGAGGGGCCTGAAAACTCCCTCAGGCTGCTGAAGAGCTCCTGCTTCTTCTCAAAGAACTTGAGGTTGTAAATGTTAGCAATCCTGGCCATGGCATATGGGAAGACCTTTTTACAGAAGGGGTCCCATAAGCCCAGGTAAGCCAGCAGGTAGACAGGCAGTGCAAGCAGCTGGACACATCTTTGGAGGAGAGGTATCAGCACCATCAGTGCAAATGGAAGAAAGTAGGATCCTTTGTATGCTGGCTGTAAACAGGACACTCCAAGCTTAAGATTACACTTAAAGTTCACTGCCGAGGATATGGCTTGCTCTGAACCGGTTGTGTCCGGTTTCCAGAGCTGGCGGCCTTCCCTTTTCTTTCTTAAAGTGATACAGCCCAATACAGCGAGAAATACAAGCACCGCAGCTGAAAGGAAGGCAGAGAGAAAGTGAGTTGTTTGCTCAGTACTGCTCTCTGGCCGGACATGGCAAAGCTCCTGTGTGTGTGATTAAGTTTGTACTGTTCCATGGAAAGCCCCAGTACATGATGCATTAGCACATATCTATCCATGGAAAGCCCCAGTACATGATGCATTAGCACATATCTAAATGCTGACCTGGACTAGGCCAGAGTGCTCTGGCCCTGATAGAATGGAGCCCATCGTCTGTAAAATGCCACAGTGTTCGATCTCAAACAGAGGTCTGCTTGTTGGGGTGTTATATTACTGTAACTCTCCCTGTTTTTCAAGTTCTTTTGTTACCTGACTGAGGGGCATACCTGTAAGGATTCTACCCTGCTCTAGACTGCCACGATTTAGGCAGGCCCAAGTCTGGATGCTCCAAATCTGGAAATGCAGCAGCAAGGATGCTCCAGGGGATTTCCCCTCTACCACTCTCAAGCACACAAGAGACAGCTCTTGTGAATGGACACTGGCATCACTGTAGCTGGGTGTTATCCTCATTGTGTGGATGACTCTGGTTTAACAGATTGTCTCAAAGTCACACCATATGTCAGCAGCAGGTCAAGCCATCTATCTTGACTGCGTAACTGATTCCATTGAATTCTCTTTAGCTTCATTGATTACAATAATATGCGGCTTTGTTTGGCATGCCTGTAGATAGGGTTCCCTATTGCATTTCTCAGTGCCCTTTATTTAATCTTGTTGCTCAGTTAGGTATTTTCCAGGTTGCCTTCATAACCCAGTGACTTTCTTTGTTTCTGTTTTGTGTGTTTAGAAACTTAAAACTGCCCCATAATATCAGGCATTTGGCCAGGACAGTTCAGCTGCTAAGTGTCTTGTACCTGATATAACAGAAAATGAAGAAAACGCCTTCCTTCTTTCTATAATGACATTTTTCTTTTTTAGCTCGATTGGCAGTACAGTTAAGAGTTTTTGGTGCTTCTAAGCTTTTAGAAAATGTAACATTGTCTTATTTATTAGTCATGGTCAAGCCCTTTTTTGTGCATGGCAGCACTGAATCTTGCTCTTAATAGTCTCCTTCTCCCTTTCATTTTTCTTCCCCTCCTTCTGTTGAACCATTGACATTGTTAAGAATTTCAGAACCCAGAAGTTGAACATCTAAGTTTTCACTGAGGGAAGAAATCAGTATCCAGTATCTCTAGGATTAATGTTGGAGTGAGAGAAAGGTGTCTGCCTTTCCAAGAACACAGTCATCCCTTAACAAATAATAGACAGAAGTTTGGAAGTGAAAGAAACATGTTGAAGTTCTCCCATAAATCAGACTCTGAACAGTGAAGATTACTGCCATGGTTAAATACAGAATTAAACAAGTCTTAAGTTTGTTTATCTGGGACTATAAATGAAAGGGAACATTGGTCCATAATTTAGGCAAATACACCCTCTAGTGGAAAATGGATCAAAAAACAGGTACGATGCAGCAGCCCTGATTTATTTCCCCAATTGTATTACCACCTTCTGTATTTCCTCAGGACATAAAACGTACCCAAAGGAAAATAAAGCAAAACAGGGAAAATTACATAATCCACTCCTGATCCTGATTTAAATTTTTCTAGGCTAGAAAAGTTACAATGCATGAGAGCAATGTGCACTGATATGTCACGTCTTCTACATTTTTCAATTAGCTCAAAAAGTTACATAACTCCACTTGTGTAGGTGATCTAGAGTTTTGTGGTGATTTGCAAAGAAGCGAAAGTACCTACCTTATTCATCTTCTATTTGAATAAATCAAATTAAGCATAGATTTGAAAACCCTTAGGCAAGACTTTGATATCCTTTTCTTCCCCTTGAGGTAAGAGTTTCCTTTTTGAGTAGAATTATAGTCATGAAATGAAAACACAAGTCAGGGGATCAGAAGATATGGCTATAATCATCTAAGCTCTGGATCACTTTGACATCATAATAGAGGCTTACATTTTTAAAAGCGACTAGTGATGTGGGTTGTATTTACTTGTAATGATGAGGTGATGTGGAGGAGTTTGCTCTGTTGTTGTTAAGATTATACCTATTCTGTGGACAAGTGGAGGACTTGCATTTTGGAAGTGTGTGGAGGCCCAGCTGAGATTGGTGCCCCGTTGTGCTCTGTGCTATACAAACATATAATAAGAGGCAGTACCTCCTCCACTGATTTGTAATCAAATAGAAAAGACACAGAGGGTGTGACAGAAAGGATGCCATGTCTAACAGATGCGTGTAACTGACACACAAAACAGAAGTGGTTGCTCAAATGTGCAGGGGGTTTATTATTGAGCCAGAAGTGTTTATTTTTGAGCTAGAAATGGACACGGATCTTCCAAATCCTAGTCCAGTGCACTTACCAGAAGGTCCTTCTCACTGGATACTCTCAAATAATGTGATTTTTGTTTTGCAGCCCAATGGAGCACTAAACTGGGATATAAACACTCCCATTCAACAACCACTAATTTCCAGGCCAGAAGTGGTATAGCTGGCTTAGGGCAGTGCTGTGCATATACCAGTAAGCTCTCCTGAGAGGTAGAGCTTTTTGGCCAGTGCCACCTCTTTTGTTTTAGAAGGCAGCATGTGTGGTTGATGTTGCATATTTCAGCACAATGCTCAGTGGAACTGGTTGGGTATAGTATAGTCTTGCCCTAAATGTATCAGTTATACATGCAGAGGTGAGTGAATGTGCAGAAAGTCCCATGCACAGTCATTTGAGGGTTTTTTTTCCTTTAATTAGTTTACTTCAGCCCACAGCTAATTTTTTTATTTGATTTTTTTTTTTTTTGCAGTTGTTAACGATGGATTTTTAGCCATATGAATGCTTGTGGGAACCAACTGTGTGTGATCACTTGTAATTCCGACAGTTCTATAGGCAGTCTAGAAGCTCCGTAGACAAATATAAATATGTTCTTGCCCCAAGGAGCTTATAAATTAAGTCAGACTTAATTTACAGGAGGACAGTGCACCAAAGGCAGAGCAAAGGGAAAGGAGGGTTGATCAGGAGAGGTGCTTATTGAGGATATTACTCATATTTGCTTGTACTGCGCAGCTGTGTGTTCCTTAAAGGGACAATGCATTGTCAGCTAGTTATTACACCAGATCAATAATTACAGCATTAGCTTTGTTCTGTTCTCTAAGTGATTTTACCAGGAAAGCATTGGTTTTTTTCCCCACCTCTACAATTACAGGCAACTCAAAGCATACCTGGAGCCACTTTTGAAGCTGACAAGTGTTTCTGAAGCTACTAGCCATTTTGGGAGCCCTATTTGAGCTGGGCAGAATGGTGAATTACTTATATCGTATCAAATTCCATACTGTGAGGACCCATGGGTTTCAATGTAAAAGAGCTTTCACTGTAGGTGCCCTACCTCTGCTTTCTCCAGGTCTCTCTGGTCAGGTAGCATCTATCTTCAGATATCCTCATCAGAAGGATGAGATTTATGCCAAAGTTGCTGAGCCACTAGAGTCTGAAACCACAAATTGCAAGCAGAGATTTTCACCTTGAGAAATAACAAGGGTCCTTACTATACTGATCCTCTGTCTTGGCTTACTTCTGCATTGGTGCTGTTACCACATGGTGCATCCTGTGGCTATCAGAAAGGTTCCACAATTCCTTCAGTACAGCACAGGGAAGTACCGCAGAGTTGGAGAGAGAAGGCTATGGAGGGAGCTAGAGACTGCAGGGAAGCTGTAGCTGCAGGCCATAGAGAGGTCTGGAGAGCCTGAAAATTGAGCAAAACAGCACCATCCTGCTGGCAGGGCCTGGCAGTAGCTGTGGCAGGGAAGGCCGAGGCAATCCATAGGCAGATGGACTGTGCAGAGGGTTATAGTGGAAAGGAACCCCTTTTGGTTTGGGACCATCTCAAAATCTGTGGTGCTTTGATCCAGGGTTTCGGATTTGATAACCGTTTGCTTGTTTGTTTTGTTTTGCTTTGTTTTCAATTAACGTGCAGTATTGAATATTTTTGTACTTGGGCATCTACAGACCACATCTGCCCTTATTTTACAGCCTCACAGAAGTCAACAGCATAAGATGAGGGCAGATTTAGTTCCTGTGTCATTTTAAAAGGAAGATAAATGAGTTCTCAAGTGTAATACTCAGTGTCCTGTTGGCTTGTCTGCTCAGCACTCGGCTCCTACAGTTCCTAAAGCTGCGTTCAGAGGACAAGGATTCAGAATTCTCAGGAAAGGGCACTTCAGCAAGGTATGTGTTTTTAAAAATAGTAACCTCATACAGTATTTCAGGTTGTCGTCTCAGCAGACGCTTTCCACAGACATAGTCCTGTTGTCAAAAATCTACATACCAGTCAAAAATAATTCCAAGGTTTAATTCTAGCAGTCCAGATTATAGGAGTAAAAAGTGTTTAATTCCTTTTAAATGAAAATGGGTAACTTGGCTCAGTTGTTATTACTTATCAGATGGGGAAACACAGTTCTGCATTCCTGTATGGTGCTGATGAGTGCCTGTAGAGACTTAAACTAGCAAATAGTCCCTTTGGAAAAAATTCTGGGGTTAGATTTCCAAGTGTTGAGCACCTTGCAACTCCATCAGGTGGCAGTTTAAAAGCTCCATTGTTTTCAGTTGGACCTGCCAGGTGCCGATCTCCTGCATTCCCAGTTCCTTTGAGAGCTTCTGAACTCTGGGAGGATGACTGATTTATTTTCTTGCAAGTAATAAATCAAATTTAACTTACTGTTCAGTGAAGACAAGCCCTGAAATCTGCAATCAGGCCCATGCATAACTTCTAAGTGTAAATCCTGGTGGAGCCACAGGGTGTGTATGTATGTATATATAATATAAAATTATTGTTATGTGGCTAGGTGAAGTCAATTTGTGGCACAAGGGGCATAGTTTTAACCCTTCTTGGCAACACTGCGGTGAAAACTACCTGGTTCTTGTGGCCACTAGAA